CCTCCCCAGCTGGTTGTTGGTAGAGCGGAACTGTTGTGGCTTGAGGGGCCTTTGCAGAAAAGCTTTGCCTGCCCTCATCTCATGTTGTGGTAGGAGGGTGAAACTTGACATGCCAGCTGCCTGACCAGAAGCTCTCAGACCTGTGTTCAATGTCCATGTGCCATAAGCCTCTACCCTAGTCCTGACTGACTCATCTTTTTCCCTTCTAGGTTCCTGATGAGCACTTTCCCACCCTACTGGCCTACTTGGAGGGGCTGCAGGGCAGGGCCCGTGAGCTGACAGTGCAGAAGGCCGAAGCATTGATGAAGGAGCTGGATGAGGCAGGCTCAGACGCCCTCCTGCTGGGAAAGGTCCAGCGCATCCGGCAGGTGCTGCAGCTGCTCTCCTAGTGGGCAGGTGGCAGGCGGAGATCAGTGCCCAGCTTGGGGCTATCCTTAGACCACTCAGGATGCAGGTGACCACCACCTCTCAGCAGTGGGGACCAGGGGACCCAACAGGCAGTGCACAGGGTTACCAATAGGTCAGCAGCTGAGCAGGGGCTGGGAGTGTCTGAGTTCTAGACCTATGTCTCTTCCTGAACACCAGAACCTTGAACAGACCCCCAGACCCGTAAAAGGACCCTCACTCTCCCCTCCCGAGATCCTTGACCAGAAACTGTCTTTATAGATCATGGTGAATTTTGATGCTAAATGACCCAGGGATACCAGGAAGCTGCTTTTGAGGGAATGTCTATTTTTCTACCAGAAATATTTAGGAGTTGTCCAGTGCTGGGCTCTGTCAATAGGACAGGGGTTCTTCAGCTGGGCCCCGCACATTTCATCTAGCTGTCCCCAGTGTGGTCATCTGTCACTGGTCACCTGCCTGCATTTGAGGACCCAGCCATGGCAAGTCCGTCTCTCACCTCCTTGAACCACACCCACAACCTTGTTGCCAGTTCCAGGTCGAGCCCTACTGGGGTCTGTGGTGTTGGGCCACTCCCTGTACACAGAAATAGACTTTGTTTTCAATAAATCATACCCACAATGGGGTGGGCCTTTGTTCTGTGTGGCTTGTTTTCACCTGCCTGAGGCAGTGAAGTGCTTTTTCTTAGCATGAGCTTGCTTCAGGCTGACTCAGTCCTTACCTGTGGCCTCCCGGCATGGTGTCTGGGACTCCATGTGCCGTGTCTGGCAGCCAGCAGTGACTGACCGTGTTGCTTTCTGACCTGCCAATTTCAGGTGTTGGCAATGATGTTCAGTCAGGAAGTATGCTCATTCTGCCAAACAGGATACGCTCACGCCCCCTCCCCCCACCAAGCCACTCCAACACCTGAAGTGCTGTAAGATGTGCTCTCGCAGCTGTCTGGCCCTCCCTTGGGCAGCGAATTCAGCCTTTGCTGAGGAAGTCCACACTCTCCTCCCAGTGAGGCATGGGCTGTGTACTTTGAGATGGACCCCAGGGAGAGCTGAGGCCAAAGCCGGGCTGCCCTCAGGATGCCTCGGGGCCCCCAGAACCTGAGTCAGCCTTCATTTTAGAATGTGGTACTACTGCATGACTTTCGAAACCAGGACAGAAATGCTGCAGCTGCCATCTAGTGCTCCTGGGACACTCACCCAGGACACAGCCTCCATGCTGTGAGGAAGCCCCTGCTGCATGGGGAGGCCATGTGGGTGCTCCAGCCCCAGCTGACAATGAGGCAGAGATGAGCTGTCCCCCAACAAGTCTTGCCCAAGTTCCAGATTTGCAAACAAAGTAGTGTCAATTGTTGGAGGCCACTAGCATTTGGAGTGCAGTAGATAAACAGAAGAGCATGCAGCTGTGGTGAGTGGGAATCAGTATAGGTTACATGCAAATAGTGAGGTGCAAGCTCTTGGTCTCCATTCCCAGTAGAGAGCCTTGTGCTTCCTCTGGCCATTCCTAACCTGGCTGGGCCTCCCCTAGCTGGGGAATTATTGCCTGCGAGTGGTGTCACCCATGACAAGGGAAGGGCACCAAAACTAGGATGTGAGTGATAAGCCCAAGAGGTAGGTCTGTACTTCTGAAGAGGACCCGGGCTGATTTCTTGACTCTTGGAGCTGGAGAGACTCTAAGGGTCATGTCATCCTGAGTGTTGTCTGTACCCCACCTAACTGCAAATAGGGTGTGGCTATCTACCGCTCCTTGGATAGTATCTGGCTCCATTCCTCAACCATTGTTGGTGCTGATCACGCTCACGCACACACAGGTCCTGTTCCTTGGCTAGTGATTGGCTTGGGATGGCCATTGGAGACAGGGAGGATGCCAAGGCACTCCTAGTGTCAGGTGAGATCACACTTGGAAAGACTTGACACAACTTGGACCTTCAGAGCTGAGACAGCATCACGGCTCTGCAGAGAAACCTACAGAAGGTGCTTCTTGAATCAGCCCCTCAGGGTGCTGGCAGACAGTCTGGTGGTCAGGTTGCCAACCTCAGTGTTCTGAGGATTGAGGCATCGGAGATAGTAGGCGATCTGCAAAATACAGAAAGGAGGTAGTAGTTTTTAAGGGATCGGGGTTGATCATCAAAAACCATAGCTCTGGGTTTCCTGGAAGCTAAGTCAGAGAGTGAAATGTAGGCTGGCCCTGTGGCCTGGTAGTTACAGGAACCAAACGTAGCTGACCACATGATTTGAATCCAGCCCCAGTGGCTTGAAAAGCACAGGCATGTGTGTGCACTCAAAATCCTGGTGATAGAGAAATGCAGGAGGAAGAATGATAGTGTGACCACACCCCATTAAGGGCTTCCTTCTCCCTCTCTTTCCGTCTGGTGAGTGAACACAGCCTCTAGAAGAATAAAAACAAATGTGTGGGCCAGCAGGTGGTGTGGTGGTTAAGGCGCTGGACTCCCGCATGGTCCACATCAAATCCTGGACCCTACAGCTTGAAAATCACACCAGGTGGAGCCAGCAGATGCTGTAGCTATTACGTCACTTGACTCCCACACGGCCGACTGCAGTTCAAGTCCTGAATCTATTGACTTGAAAATCACACTGGGCACATGTGCATGCATGCCCAAGATCCCAGGAGAAGGGATTGCAGTGTGACCCTCCACCTCTTGGGGTGATTTTTCACTTCCTTCTCACTGTCTCTGTCTCCCTCTGATGAGTGGCCACACCCTAAGATAAAAACCTTTAAAAAAAAAGAAAAAGGAAAGAAAATCACGCCAGGTACTTGTGCGTGTGTGCCCAGAATCTCAGGAGGAGAATAAAGAAGGGATTGCAGCATGCCATCCTTCCTGGGGCATGATTTCTCACTTACTCTCTCACTATCTCTTTGTCTCTCTCTGGCAAGTACACATACCCTATGGCAGAAAAATAATTATAAATAAAAAATTAAAATTTTTAAAGAGGGTAAGGTGGGGACCAGCAGATGGTTGCTGGACTCTCATGTAGTTGACCACGATTTGAGTCCTGGACCGGTGGTTAAAGTGCTGGACACTCCCATATGGCTGACTATGGTTCAAGTCCCAGACCTGGTGGCTTGCTTTCTCACTTTCCCTCTGTGTGTGTGTGTGTGTTTGCGTGTCTAGTCAAATTAAAATAAAATGAATGAATAAATAAAATTAAATAATAAAATGTGTGTGCATGCTCAATCCTGAGAAGAGAATGGAGGTGTGGCCATCCATGGAGTGGATGATTTTGCATATTCTGTCTCTCTGTCTCTGTCTCTCTGGCAAGTGCATTCCACCCTATAGCCAAAATCTCTCTTTAAAAAGGTGAGGGGGAGGTGATGGGCACCAGATCCTTACTATCTGTTAATAGAAGGTGTTTTGGGGCCCAGCAGGTGGTGTGGTGGTTAAGATGCTGGATTCCCACATAGCCAACCACAGTTTGAGTCCTGGACCCGGTGACTTGAAAATCACAATAGATCAATAAATGTTTTAAAAGTAGAAGATGGTCTTAGTCTACCTCAGGTGACTATGGAGTGCCAATATTTACAATGTCTCTCTAGTGGAAGGTTCTGCAGAAATGTCACCTGGGATAAGGCTGTTGAAAGGCTTCACTTGGACCAAGCCCAGTGAACCAAGTAGTTCCTTGGGGGTCTCTTTGACAAGACCCAGGGCAGCCCATGAAGAACCACCAGGACCTCAGGTGCCTGAGGACCAGCTGTGAGTCTACTACTCAAAGCATGCGTTGGGTACCTTCGGCCGGAGACTTGCTGGTAGGGCCATTACTTTCCTGGAATCAGCCCAGATGACTCTCAGTGGGTGGGCGCTGCTCAGTGGTAAGAAAGAAAGGTCTGCTGAGGTATGCAGCAGTGTGGCCGAGTCAAGTGACACCAGTTGAGACACAAGTGAAAACTGATCCCACCGACACTGCAGGTCATCTGAAGTGGCGGCATGTTGGGTAGGTTCCTGGCGTATGAGCGGCTCAGGTGGACACGTCCTGTGCCTTGCTGATGGTGGCTGCACAAGTGTGTGCAGGCATCAACACTCACCAAATCAGGGCCGGCCCCATTGCCTAGTGGTTAAGGGAACCAGGTCCCACATGGCCGACCACAGTTAGAACCCCAGCCACAGTGGCTGAATAAACATTCTGGGTACGTGTGCATGTGTGCCCAAAAGTCCTGACAGGATGGTGGTGCTTGTTCTCTCCCCATCTCTCTCTCTCTCTCTCTCGCAAGTGCAAGTACCCTCTAGCAATTTAAAACCAACCCAGAGACCAGCAGATGGCGTAATGGTTGTGTCACTGGATTCCCACGTAGTCGACCACGATTCCAGTCCTGGACTGGCAGTTAAGACTCACACTGGGCACGTGTGCGTGTGTGCCCAAAATCCTGAGAAGAGGAGAAGGGATTGCAGAATGGCCATTCCCCCTGGGTGGTGGTGGTGATTTCTTGTCTTCTGTCTCTCTGGAGAGGGCACACCCTGTAGCAAAAATCTCTCTTCAAAACAAAACCAAAAAAACCACTTTAGGTTTTTTTTTGTTTGTTTGTTTGTTTTTTTGAGAGGTTTTCGCTATAGGGTGCGTTTGCTCGCCAGACAGACAGACAGAGAGAGACATAGAGACAGAAAGCGAGAAATCACCCCCCAGGGGGGATGGTCACGCCGCAATCCCTTCTCCATTCTCCTCTCGGGATCTTGGGCACGCACGCACACGCACCCGGTGTGAGTTTTAAGCCACCGGGTCTGGGACGCGAACCGCGGTCGACTACATGGGAGTCCAGCGACATAGCCATTACACTAACTGCTGGTTCCCTTTCCGTGTATTTTTAACAATACATCAATAAAGTTGATCTTAAAAACTCCCACATAACTGCATGGTTAAGTTCCAGTCCCGGCTGCCTGAGAAACGTTGGGCACATGTGCTTGCTTGACCAAAATACTAAAAAGGAGGGAGAGATGAAGAGATTGTGGCATGACCATTCCCAATTGGAGGTGGGGGATGCTTTCTCTGGCAAGTACAAGTGCCCTCTAACCAAAGTGGGGGAAAAAAAATTCTGTTCCCCAAGGAGCCCTCCAGAGCAAAAACCAAATCTAGCAGGACAAAGCCCACAGCGGAAATGCTGTGTTGCAGAAAGTATTGTGCATTAAAAACATTTGTTGGGGTCAGCAGGTGGCGTGGTGGTTAAGGTGCAAGACTCCCACATGGCGGACCACAGTGTGAGTCCATCCTGATGCCCTCTTTCTTGCTTTCTGTCTCTCTCTGGTGAGCATATGTGCCCTATAGCAAATTTTTAAATAATAATGATTAATACAATTATTGAAAAAAATAAACGAGGATTTGTTGTCATTGTAATGTGTATTTCTGTCAAAGTTACATGTGTTTATCACTAAACAATAAAAAGCACGATTAGGAAGTCAGATAGTGTCTGCCTGTGGGAGAGGTCATGGGCAGACGGAGCTGGACTTTTCTGGAATGGTGGACACTCCTCAGACCCACCAAGTCCATGTGACTGGAAAGCTGTCCTCTGGCACAGCCCCTGCCCAACCCCCTGAGGAAGCAGCCGCCTCATAGCTGTTACTAAAAGACCCGCAGGACTATGTCTAAGAAACATGGTTCACCACAAGCATGTTGGCCTTCTCAGCTACTCAGTCGTGCC